ACTGGTGGAAATAGTGAAGACCAAATCAAATGTTATCCATGAACCGAGCTAATGTGTACAGGAAAATATGCAAAGAGGTAGCGCGCTTCCTCTTCCTCCTTTCCCCCGCTTTTGAGCATCTTCAACAGCCTAGTCGTCTAGGTGCATTTCTGCGAGGAGGTGTCAATTTAGAGGCTACCTTCCAGGAATTTGGAGAGCATTAAAGCAGTCTTTTTCAGCATTTTGGTTCTGCTGATGCGAGTGGAAATCACCATCTTGTGAGAGGCAAAAAGTACCACCGCACTTCTGCTATAATAAATTTAAAGGTAAGGTAGAAAATGATGAAAAGGAAAAAGAAGAGAAGGAGAACAAAGTGGAACTTAGTCGAAAGCGTACCGGCTGCCGGTACGGGGATGCGCTCTTTGCACAATTCCCCCGAAGGGTTTTTTTCACCAGCGGTACATTCTTCCCGGCAGATGCTTCTAGCTGAAAGAATTGGGACTGGCCACTACGACTGTTAGAAATTATTACAGTGACTCCCAATCCATGCCCAAAAAATCCAGCGCTCTGGATGCTTCGGTTGCAGAGTTGCGTCAAATTTCACGTGTTCGTATGTGAGTGGCAACGTGAATGCTTTCTTCGCCCGCAGTTGCTCAAACACGGTCTTGGGTAACGCTCGAAAAGTTCCACCACTCCAGCTGCCCTTGTTGCAGGGTTACGTCAAATTTCACGTGTTCGTACGTGAGTGGCAACGTGAATGCCTTTATCACTCACGGTTGTTCAAACATGGTCCTAGGGAGTGCTCAGGAAGTTTCAGCACTCCAGCTGCTCTAGTTACGGAGTTACGTCAAATTTCATGTGGGTACGCGTAAAACGTACGTGAGGTACTTAAGTGATGTGTAAGTCGTTTTTACGTGTATCTGGTCAAAGGCACCGTCGGATATGCTCAGAGAGTCCAGATCTTCTGGCTGGTTCAATTCTGAAGTTACAAAAGCGCATGCGTGAAATTTTCACGTGTTCGTA